TTCATGTACTCAGACAGTAATATTTGGGGTCACAAGTTTTTGCCATGAATATTTTGTGGGTCAGAAGACAAAAAGTTTGGGAACCACTGCTTTAGATAAGTTGTCTGGATCAAAACAACAGAAACTAAGGAATCCGTAACGTTAGAGGTGATTCTCAGCAGAACTTAAAGACAACAGAGACCAYGGTGACTTTAGTTTGTAAAGACTTGTGCTCCTACGTCRTASAGAAAACTAAGAGACGAGCGGCTCRTTAGGAGCTCGAACCAAAACTACAGTTTGTAAACATCTGACTGAACTGTTCACAGCATGTTTAAATGTGTTAAAGACCACATTCTAACAAAATCATTTAGTTTTGTTACCAATATTATTATTTTTAAACTTTAAGAAACGTCTTAATGAAATCCACAGTGATGACATGTTGTATTTGTTTAGGTTTAAGTAATAAGTTTTAATAAGCTAACAGAAACATTACAAATTCTTAAAAATCAAACACTGTCACCTGCAATTCCTTTTTACTTGAAAACCTTTTAACGTGTAACCGTTTTCCTTCAAGATTAAACAGTTTAATTTAAAAGTTTGTCCTTAAAACCTGTTGTTTATGTTGAAGAGAAAAAAGTGATAATGTGTTTTGTAGCTGCGTTTCCATTGACCATGAAAATGCGCAAATTAGAATTTAGAAAATAAATTTGCTCAATGGAAACACGTCAATTTCCAAAAAAAAGTAAGTTTTTCAACAAAATGTTTTTGCACTAGGATGAGGTGATTTTTCAGTCGTATTGAAACTGGTGTTTTTCACAAAACTGCAATGGAAACACTTTTTTCACATCACAGGAGTCACGTGATCAACAACCGTCTGTTTCTACTGGTGAAAAAGANGGAATATTTATTAATACTTCATTAGTGACATTATTTGTATTTTGAACGTCTCTCCACAATTCATCTCTTCAAATCTAGCTGAATATTTAGAACAATATGAATTAATCCGTCTCAAGTTATTATTATTATGATTTGTTGTTTAGATTCACTGTGGGCATTAAAAAGACAAGCGTCTTGGTGAAGGTGCAGCTCAGACTCGGTACCTGAGGTAGTGATCTCCTGCCAGGATGCAGATGGACTGCAGCGTCTTTCCCAGACCCATGTCATCACACAGTATCCCATGCAGCTTATATTTGTTCAGAAAGGCCAACCAGTTCACTCCATCCTGAAAACACAAGATGAGATTAATAACGGAGGAATCAAAGAGTCATAAAATCAACTCCTTCACTGTTTAAAGCTCTTTAAAAGCAGACGGTCTGTCTGTTGCACCCCCGCTGGACTGGCTGGACCTTTTCGTTTGTTTACACCACTCCACTTACCTGCTGGTACTTCCTGAGCTCAGCTTTGATGGGAACAGGGATCTTGTAGTTCTCCAGCTTCCTCCCATCTAGWAGCTGCTCCAGGAAGTGGCGCTCTCTGGCTTTCTGCTCGATCAGGTCGGCAGACATGACAGGTGGGTCTGGCATACCTGCCTGGGAACAGAAAACACACACCTGTCAGGTTTTATGTCCGACTTCGAATTAAACCAGGAAACAGAAGTTCAGATAAAAAAAACAAACAGGATGAACTTTTCTCCACAGTTTTCCATCATCTAAACAATGACATCATTAGGGCTGGGTATAAATAAATAAATAAATAAATCTTGGATTGATTTAATTTAAATTTGTGAAAATCGATTCACAGATCCATCTTCCTCATGGAGTCTTGTTTTAAGTGTCTGAAACACGTTTATATATTTTGTCACTCCTGGCTTGCCGTATATTTACATCCAGGTGACACTCAGCGCTAACATTAGCTTTAGACCAGCGTTTCCCAAAGTTGGGGTCGGGACCCAAAGTGGGGTCCCGAAACTTCAAGGTGGGGTCCTGAAAAGATTTTCTGAATTAATTACAT